CTAAACCATATAGATCATATTCCCATCAAATTATTTAATTTTGTTTATTTTAATTATATTTGATTTTTTTGAATTGTTATTTAAATTTTTCTAAATCTCTGGATATTTTATTTATCAAATTTGGATTTATAAAAACAGAGATATTGACTTTATAATGATTTAAGTATTCAAATAATGATTTTATGTATTTCTAAAATATAAAAATAACTTAAATTAAATGGAAGGCCCAATAGGTCTTTTGGGCCTACCATTGCATATTGGGTGGGGCCCATTATGTGCCCAAATAGGTGGCACGCCCCACCTAGAGAAACCATTTTTTTTTTTTAATCAAGCTTTGAAACTTGAGATGTACGTTTGTGTTGTTTCATAAAGATTAAGCCTTGAGGAAAATTTGAATGATATTTTGGTATGTATGATAAAGCTTATGCATAAAATAAGAAAGGATAATATTATAATATATTAATTTCTTATTTGAATTAATTGATGGGAAATTAGTTTAAGAAGTGGGGGATAATGGTCTAGCACCTTCCATAGGATGTTGATAGCCCATCTAGGAAATGGAGAGCTCATATCTCTCACCCAACAAGTCATCCAAGATCAATAGTGCATATTCAATCTCACATGAGTGGCAAGCCAAAAAAAACCTTAAGAAACCCTAAAACTATTCAAGCACTATAAGAAGGGATGAACACTACCCAAACTTATCTACACCATATGTCGTACACCTAAAATCTCTCTCTTCTCTCTCCTTTAGAAAAAGGAAGGGGCATGCCCCATCTCTTGAGTTTCGCTCTCTATCTTGACCAAAGTAGGGGACACGCCTTACTCATAAAAAGTCTCTCTCTCTTTGGAAACCTTCTCTCTCCTATGCAATCAAAAGGGGGCACACCCCACTCTCTCTTTCTCATCTCATGGCTTCTCTATCATGGTATTTCTCATGATCTCTCATTTTTCTTTGGGGTTTAGACTATAAGGTTGTGGTAGAAAAGATAATCATCTCTTTCAAACTAAGTTGTTAAGGGGATTTGCCTAAGGATTTGAGAATTGTGAATAAGGGGTTGATGTTCCATTGATATGGTTTGTCCGAACTTGTTTTCTCGGTTGAGATTAAAAGTTAACCATTAAATCTCGCGTCATCGGAAGGTGGTAACTCGATGTGGGGTGTAAGAAGCCGGATTAAAGTAATTTGCAGCACCCTCTTTTGTTTCTTGCATATTTATTTATTATGTCTTTCGTTTCCAAGCATAGGTTGTGTCTTTTCTTTGTTAATAAAAAGTGTTGTTTTGAATGACTTTGAGTTTTTGAGATCTTATTGTATTGTTGTTTTTTATTTTATTTGAAGTTATTATATTGTAAAAAGACTATTTGTGAGTGATCTAGACTGTGAAGAAAAGAAAAAGTATTGAAATGTATATTATATACTCCAGCTAGATCGTACGAATCCTTCTTTCATTTACCATGTATACCCATCTGCCACACGCTTAACTTTCATTTACCATGTACACCCATCTGCCACACGCTTAACGCACACTATCTCTCAATTTTCACCAACCTCATAACAAAATTTTGTGTTATGGCAAGTTCGATGAGGTGTTTACATGTACTGGCATTCTCATAATAATTGAAGTACAATTTCTTGAGCTTTCCATTGAATCGATGTCGTGTAGATCGCGTCCAGTCTCTAGCTGATGTTGTACCTGTACCTCATTGGCACCAACTTTGCAGCCACATTTTGGTCGCGCACCACCACATTGAATCGGTTCTAAAAAACGCAAAATGCATCCATTGGACATTAGTTCACAGCACTCCCCTATGAATGACTAAGAACCAAGATATACAAGAAAGACAAACTTTATATATATTCCTTGTCGATGGATCATCGTCCGTCCATTTTGCTCACAAGTCCCGAGTACTTGAATTTGGTTGGCTTCAAAAGAACGCATCAATCCGAGAAGGCATTGACAATATATACGTAGCACCACAATTGTCGTTCCCTTCTACCGAACCCATGTCACTTTTAACCCATGTCAATCGCTTGTTCTAACAGGTAACCGCCCGGTTTGATAGGAACTAGCTAATGGCCGGTTCTAGTTTCGGTCGGTTTTAGTCATAGTCGGGGAATTTTTATGTTTTCTATAATGATGAAAACGTAAAAAAGTAAATTACAAATAAAATTCCTTATTTTTTGGCTTTTATTTGATCGAAACTAGCCAGTGGCCGGTTCTGGTTTAAGTCGGTTTTGGTGACAAGGTATTTTAAAAAAAATAAAAATTAAAAATTATATAAAAACCAAAAAATAAAGACTTTTGTTTGTAATGTACTTTTTTATGTTTGCCATCATTATAGAAAAATTTGGAAATTATTTTGACCATAATATTTATTTTTACATTTTTTCATCTTTTTAAAAAAGATCAAAAATACCCCCAGGCACAAATCGATTCTTTAAAACTCATTTTTTTCATTAATTTTCTTCTTCTTCTTTTTTTTGACACGATTACTTAGCTTTTATTGATACTACAGAGGAAAAGATACACTGATCAAAATAAATAATCTGAAAAAACTATATGGTCGAGATTTCCCCCTTTTTTTGCCAACTCATCCGCAACCTTATTTGCCTCCCTGAAGACATGGTGAAAAGAAATAATCAACGAAGAAACTACAACCATTACTTGAAGCCACAAAGATCTCATACGCCATGGAGGTTTAGCAATGCAGTTGCACCAATTTATTACATTCAAAATATCGCCTTCCAATGTCACTACATTTCCAAACCCCTTCTCTCTCCAAATCAAGAGTCATTATAAAAAGGATCTTAACTCTGCATGATTTGCAATAGCCACACCGCACAATCCAGCATAACAAAAAAAAATATTCCCACTGTGATCTTTGCATACTCCACCAAAACTTGCTACCTCTGGGTTTTCAGGGGAATAACCATCAAAGGCAATCTTCAGAACTCCAATTGCCGGTGGTACCCATCTTAATTTTGGTCTGACTTTCAAAAAAACGATACGTGATGAGATTACTCATATTTGAAAACACTTCAACTTTAGAAATTCCAAAGTCTTCCTTGGTAAATATAAGTCAACTCCTAACATAATTCTAAATTTTATATTGTAACTCCACAACTCCTAAATGATTGCAACTCTAAAAATATCTCAAGTTTAAGTTGTTGCATCCATTGTACTAATGATCCCGGCATGACCATATTTACCCCCAATATGGTACGTAGCCCATTTTCCATTAATTTTCAACTTCATTTGGTTATGCTTTGTTTAATCATTCTTGAAATATATTTTTCATATTTTATTAGATTTTTTTGTATTTTTTTAACACTTTTTTTACTACCTAAGACTTGCCTGGTTAGAACGGTTGAACCGGCCGATTTACCGGTTAGGCCGATTGAACCGCTTCCGGGCCCATGTCCAGCAAACCATTCCGATTTCAATTTTTCCAACACTGGCCCCAATACATACCAATCAATTTTGTTGGCTTAGAAATTAACCTAAGTGCATTTTTAGTTGGTCCAAGTTCCATCTCATGGGAAGTTTGTCACTTTAGGTTTCCACCCTTGAAAGAAATCCACCATCTGAACTTCACTTAAAAGGTCTGTGCAAAGAAAGGCATTGTTAATGTTCGTGATCCAGTCACTTGAGTCATACCCACTGCAGAAGAGGGAGATAAATAGACACCAAAGCGGTAATTGCAAATAAATAAACTTACAAATAAGGAAAAGTTTATATAAGGTTGAAAATTTAAAATGTAGATTTAAAGATGCCCCTCAAATTCAGCCAGAAAAAGTTGTTTTAATGTAGAACAATTCTCTAATTAACATCTCAATATCAAGATGTATGAATATGAAAACAAAAATAAAAAAAAAGATCGAGTACATCTTGCAACACATTTTTTAGACTGGTCATTTTCAAGATTTCATATGATTATAAACCTTCTTGATTTTAACTATTTTTTAAATTTAAAATTTTATAAGTAGATATGAAAATAGATTTTGAGATAATCCTAAAAACGTTTTACACCAAAATTACATATTATAATAAAATTTGGACATGCGCCTCAATTGGATTGCTTAAAGTTGTAACCTTATAGAAACCACAATCGATAGATAATACCAAGAGGCGCGGCATTGATCATTCTTTGAATTAATTGGTAATAATGACATCATTCAAATTTGTCCAGAACCCAATATTCAATGCAAGTGCTACAGAAATCCCAACAAGAAACTACAGAGTGAGAGTGAGAAAGAAGGGTAAAGGTTGAGACCAGAATTAAATTTATTGGTTCAAGGTAGAATGTCAAACCACTAAATAACCAAAGAACGAACCAACTATACATCATTTCCCACGTGATTTTGATGCCAACAGGAAAATTCGACCCAAAAAAACAAACCTATTTTTGCCACAATTCACAGTACGAAACCGGAATATCACTTAATAATGAACAAGGCAGCATAATTGGACCTTTTAACACAAAGGAGAGAAGGCTTCTTTCTGGTCAACAAGAGGAAGAGGAAAAGGACCGCTAAATAAGAGTACATCAGTGGGAGCAACAAGCTGAGTGAGCTTGAACAGGGTCAAAGCGACTCAAACTGATTTTGAAATCAATCTCTCTCCACTGATCGCCGACTAGGTCCTCAACAACCGAACATAATATTTAAAAGAACAAAATGTTCGGTAACACATTACCAACAGCAAAATCCATGGTTCCAAAAACACTATCCTGTCATCAGGGAGTTATAACAGGCACAATAGACATTATCTTTGAATATCTCAATGCATTTTATTTTGGGTCTAAAAATAATAAGGACCTTTAAATCTTCCCTTAACCCATCCCAAACCAGGGTTAAAGTGGGTTGTATTAAGTAGGCAGTCAATATAAAACTATACTAAAACTTTCTATTTCTACCAAGCAATATTTGTAAACGCCGATGCTCAATACCATTATGAAAGATATTTTGCAGTTTTCAAAACCTTGAGACTCGGTGATAGGCTCAAACAAAAATTTTGATATAATTGGATCAACAATCACATAAACGTCATGAACATAAATGCCCCAATTGGGATCTAAGAACATTCAAAACCTCAGTAGATGAATACATGGATAAGTATGACATTAAACCCTTTAAACCTTTCCCTTTCCATTAGTAAAAGTGTGTTATAGCTCTCATATACCAGTACATGGACACCAGCTGCCGGCTTCTCAGCCCTGTCTGTGAATCTCAACCATTTGTTCAAATCAGTTCTGCAGCCTCCATAGCCACGGTTAAATCCGGATCCTTCGCTTCCCTTGTTCCACTTGGGACTTCAGAGTCCCCGCTAGGAACTGTAGAAGCAGTAGGCTTGTATAGTGTTGAAGCTTTCAGTTCCAAATTCGATGGAGGTTCGCAAGTACCCTCATTATAACTCCTACCCGCTGAGTTCAGAGGGATTTCAGAGGTCTCACTTCTATTAGTTGCAAAATTTTCCACGGCTTCAGGGACCTTGCCAAGGTTGGGCATTAAATTTCCAGGGGTCGTTGTGGTCTTGCTAGTGTCAGTCGCTAAATTTTCCAGGGTTTCAGGACCTTTGCCACTGTTGGTTGCTAAATTTTCAGAGTTTTCAATGTTTTCAATGTCCTTGCTAGCAACCAAGTTTTGTGGGGTTTCAGAGGCCTTGCTAGTGGTATCTGCTAAATTCAGCGGGACTTCAGAGGCCATGCTAGTGTTATTCGCTAAATTCAGCAGGGTTTCAGAGGGCAGTGCACTCGAGCCAGGGTTAGAGGCACCATTAATGGAACTTGCCTTTATCTCAGAACTTGTACAATCTAACCTTTCACTTGTCCCTGGAACTCCAACTTTAACCGGTTGCTTTTGTTCTGATTGGACTAACTTATGTGGATTCGATTCTGAGACAACTGTCGCAGGAGAAGCCTGAGGTGGTTTGCTGCCAAGGATTCTCTGAACTTCCTCATGAATGCCTTCGAAAACCTTAAGGTTCTTCCTTAACCTGAAGCCAGCTGATTTGTTGCCAAAGTAGGTTTGGACCGAGTCTTGCTCATTATCATTTACCAGTTTGCACATCTGCAAGTTTGAAACCATACACAATAGAGTCATCAACGTAGGGTCATTTGTGTTCACAACTTATCGAATTGGAAATACATGTAGTTTGGCTTCAGTTAAGGTGTTAAGGATTAAACTCCTAAAGAAATTTCGAGGGGATTGTATATAGCGATATATGTAGCCATATAGTTTACAAACAGTATAATACAAACCACCTCACCCCTCCATTGATCACAATGGACACTTGAGGTGAATGCTCGGCCAAAGAGGGCACAAGGCAGAGTAACAGTTCACATCAACGGTCAACTGTAAATAACAGAAAGTTGACCTGACATGCTTTCTAGTTATAAACTTCAGAACAACATAATACCATGGACACATCTTGTCATCTTCCAGTCACCCTATTTCAGTGGAATATTCCAGAATAACACTTAGACAAAATTTCAGAATGACATTATGTTTGTTGAAAATATAGTTATATTTCCAGATCTGAAGTTTTTCCAAAAAAAAAAACAACAAAAACAAAACAAAAAAATTTCCAGATCTAAATGAATTATGGCCTTCAGAGCAGAGGAGCATATGAGTTAAGGCCTGTGGTACCCATTTTCTTTAAGCATGACATAGTCCATGGACTATGGTATGTGGTACTCCGAGATACATAAATTAACAGGTCTCAATGACGGACGGTTGGAAATTAACTATACCTGCGCCAAAAACCACCTGGCAAAATTTCAGTTAATCTCCAACCATCTGTGAACGGGAAGTAATTTTGGGTGTATAGCCTGGAGTACCATATCATAAACACTTGGACTATGGTACACTTCCCCTGCAGGTTTGGCCCCAGGCTGAAACACTAATTTGGGTGAAATTTGACAAAAAATGCAACTAAGGGAAACACTAATTTGGGTGAAAATTGACCAAAAACTTGAGTAAGGTAATTGAGCCTACACCTCATTGTAAAGGCGGACCATTTCCAGGCGTTCTGGATCATTATCATATGCGTTTATGATTAACTCCCCATTACCTGCAAAATATAATCAGATTAGCACATGACATGAAGATACCTTGATTCACTATAAAGAGGAAACATGAAATACCTCTAGCTTATCATTTTTTTATTTTCCTTTCTACTTTTGGAAGGAAAATGCCAGTATCTATAGAGAACTCTCTCAAAAGTGGTAGGGCCATTCAATATTCGCCATGAAGTTGCAAGGAGCCACTATTCTCAATCGAGACCTATTTGAAAGTTGAAATGCCTACCCAATGTACAAATTACACCAGATATGGTCACATGAAAGATTTTACATACTTTGGACATTTTCAGCAAATTTCCATAACCATTCCCTGATCTTCAACCTCCCATCATTTCTAGCTAAGTTGAAAAAGAAAACCAAAAAATACAGCTGGAGAGCATGAATGAGAAGAATTGTCAACTAAAAAATATAAGAAAAATCACATATAGGTCAACACTAAACAAAATTTCAGCGAAGAACTCAAAGACCCAGTTAGTGCCTAAAAATTAGCTTCTGCAATTCTAATAAAAAGATGAGCAGTTTGTTTACAACTTCTGGGTTCTCTTCTAGCATTGATAAGTGAGTCTTCACTAACCAATGCATGGAGTTGGAGTAAAATTGAGTGTTTCTGTAACATAAATTTTTTGTTTTAAAACAAGGTATTTGCCATTACTGATTAAGCTATCGAAGGAAAAGAATCATACCTATCGGATCTAAAGAAGACAACGATTGCATTTGATTGTCGGCATCCAGAGAATTTGGACTGGGAATATCTTGCACTTTTGGCGTATCATGCACCATGGGCTCCACTTCTGGCTCAGCACTTGAAGACTCAAACCCTTTAGCATCATTCTGCTGCTCCTAGAGTAAAGAGGCAGGGGAAAAATTATCGTTTTCGTTAAAGAAGGAACTGGAAAATGAAAACTGGCTTTTCCACATTCTTCGATGAGAGAGTATATGAGTGGAAGTAAAATATGAATTATGTCGCAAACCCTTTCCATGTCTATCACAAGGTTTTAGCCCTCAACCGTTTTTTATCTTCCACCAACTTTACCATAAAAAGATTAGCAGATGCCAGATTCAGCCAAGTTCTCTATTTTTTCTTATTTTCATTTTTTTTCCCGCTGTCAAGCTTTCCCTGAGCCCACTCAACTTGGGCAAGTCTCATGTCCTGACTAGGATTGTCAAAACTCTCCTTAGAAAGATACATAACATGAACAAAGTATTTTGCAACTCTGCACTTCTTCTATCTTTGTATGTAGTAATATAAATTTGCTATCCATAAGGGAATTTCAGTCTTCGACTATTCTACAGCACATCTATACAAGGCATCAACCCTAATGAAATTGTTTCACTCCTAATGGAATGAAACACATTCTATTCAATATATTTGCCAGCAAAAACTAGAAACTTTCAAGGAGGTATAGTAACAAAGAAACTGCAATGAGAAAAATAGAATATACAAACCATATAATGGATTAATAATAAAGCATGATGACAAACCAAAGGAAACATCAAGTCTGTCCCATATGGTATTCAGTTAAAAAGCCAATAAAACGCATAATAAATAAATAAATAAAGTAACTACTTTCTTCAGGAAAGGAATAGAGATCCACTTGCTCAATTAGTTGTCATGAAAATTCTTAAGTCATAGAGCTTGGGGTTCTAATGCTATGATAGCCAAGCTACCAAAGAGAAAAGCAACTCATATATGTAACTGGAACAACCAAAAAAGAATTACCCGTGCTACTTACAAAGTAATCTTTCTGGTATTCTACACTCAAAGCTTTCTCTAAGAAGTTCACCCTCTTCTTAATAAACTCCACAAGCCTTCTCTGCACTTGAATACTTTCATATGACATCAAACCATCTTGGAAAACCTGACTTCCCCCATCAGAAACAGCTTCATCAACACTTCCTGAGCCATGTCTTATACCATCTTCTCTTAACTGGCTATTGATTGTTCCATTTGAAGAACCAGTTTGCTCGTGAGCGAAATTGGTTTCAGGAAAAGAACAATGTGCACCATCTTGCATCTGTGAGGATCCTGCGAGGGAACCATTCACATATGGCAAATTTTGCTCTTGGCAAATGATACCTGGAAAGCCCAGATGTGGATCTTCAACAATAGCAAGCCATCTTCCATAGCCATGCCTACATTGAATTTTAATTGGCAAACAAAAATTAGTACAGGAAAGCAACTATCGATGCAAATCCTAAATCCTAAAGAAACTGAAGAAGACGGACAGGAGTTGCTTATGGGGAATAAAAAATAGGAGAGTACATAAAAAGCGCAAAAAGCCTATGCCAACATAAAAAAAAGGCAATACATGGGAACTCAATAAATGGAGAGTTTTGATAAATTTTTACTTCATAACAGCACATAATAAAGACAAGTCATGTTCTTCTTTCCAATATCTACTGCTCCTCAACCCTGGAAAGCGTGACACAATGTCTTCAGCAAAGAGGGGCAACCCTGGATTTTCTGTCGAGAACTTCACCTGTGTTTTGGGGAAAGAAAATTGGGGAAAGAAAATGGTAGCGGCACTACATAAGTGTACAGAATACAACTTCAGCTATGCAGTCTTCATTATGACATTAAATAATCTAACATGTATTGCTCAATAATTAAGAGGTCAAAAATGCTGAAACAGCTAACTGAAAATCTGAAAATAACATAGAAAATTTGAAGGCAGTCGATTTAGTTGATATTGACTAGAAAAGGATATTTCGTTTTGAAATTCATGATTTATGTTCCTTAACTGTATGAAACATCTTGTAGGATGAAGCCATATCAGCATTTGATGTAAACAATAACTAAAAAAAATAAAACTGACAAAACCTCACTGCTCACTTAATACAAACGTGGGCAGGTTCAACAAAAATTTAACACTCGCTCTACCTCATCCCCTACCACAAGAATAATCACAAGAACTTTAAAAAATATCATGCTTCAGCTGAAAGTGCCTGAAATGGAACAAAGAAGGGCAATTGTGCTAAGGAGACATGAACTTGTTTGCGATAATAAAGTAATGCCTGATCCCTAACTGAGAGAACCAATATATAATTTTTTTTAACCTTAACAACCAGAAGTCGATGCACTGTTGTGTGTGTGCAATGTCTGTGACCTCGTCAAATCCCCAGTCCCTTCTACAAAAGCTGAGAAAGCTGCGGCACAAATGCTTTCTGTATATGCATCATAGTTTTTGGGATCTCCCAACCTAGGTGGCCTGCACCGGAATCTCGATCCCGCAGTTAGGGAAAGAGATCTTCAAAGGATCTTGATTTTTAAATTTCGGGATCTCGACCCGTGTACAAGAGATCTCAATCCCCACTGTTAGGGATGTCAATCCCCACCTTAAAGACAAAAATGATGATTTTCAAGCAGCTAACAATGCAACTACACTTTTAACATTGCATTGCTTGCTGGCTCTAAACAAAGATATCCCTACTTTAAAGAGTATGTATAGTCCTATACTACATATACTAAGCAAGATCCCCAAAAGGGTGAGATCGAGATCCCTAACATTTAGGGAATAAATGTACGGACACAGCTCCAGCCTTAGGGATTTTCTATCCTTTCATGATCCCTCCTGCACCAGTTCCCTATCACACTCCCAATTCGCTTTCAATCCTAACAACTATGGTGTGCATTTCAGAAATTTAACACTAGCTCTACCTCATCCCCTCCCACAAGAATAATCAGAAAACTCTGAAAATAATATCATGCTTCAGCTTAGAAGGAGAAAAGAAGGGAAATTGTGCTAAGCGGTTATGTACAGAGAGCAATTGAAATTTACCGCAAGGTATGACTTGATCGATAATATAATAAAGTAATGCTTGATGCCTACTGTAAGAACTGATACATAATTGTCTTTGCCATCATCAGCCAGAAGCCCATGCACTCTTTTGAGTGTGCATTCGTGTGTGCAATGTTGTGACCTCGTCAAATCCCCGGACCCTAACACGAAAGCTACAAAAGAAGCTGGGCACAACTGCTTTGTGTGTGTGTGCCCATTACTGCATCAACATGTGCATAATGTGTTAGCTTGATTTACTTGTGCCTACAACACCTTCACCTAGAGTAACTCGGTTAATTCTACATTGCTATCCATGAGTGTTAATTCAGCTCTTGAGATGGTTCTGGTCCAAGCTTTTATTTATGATAAATGTTGTGCCAACTCATTCTTTATGGCCATTCTTATTGTAATCAATGAGAAGATTCTTGTTTTCCATGAAAGATCCACACCCATAGAAGTTGATTGTCATAGTGTGAGAAAAAAGGAAAAACCAACAACATGACTGGCAAATACATTATACACATGAACCAAAGGATAAATTAGGGACATTCTATCTGAGTGAGTTGGGAAGTATCATTTTCAATCTCTTATACAAATGATAGAAATTCTATTCACAACTGTGGGGAAGTGTTAGAGAAATAAAGTTACTTTCCTGAAGGGCACAATTCATTTTTCCTTCAGTAGTCTTATGTTGCCCAAATGAAGTGTAACACAGGCATTGTGCTCCAATGATACAGTCCAATTTATGTACTATTGAACTAAGTTATTTAAGTAATGTTATAGCTTTATGTTCCCAACTTCCCACACATTTTACATTGCCTAGTCCAATAGGAAAATAAAGAACATAAATGTCCAATAAGATGCATTTTAACAAATGTAACAGCAAATTAGAACGGTCACCCTTTATCAGGATTGCTAGTACTAGAACAATGTGAACAACAAATAATTTTTTAGTTTGAAATGCACGCACAGTTTGCACGGTGCCCAATACATTTAATGGAACACATACCTTGTCTCTAATAAGGTGTAAAGTTGCAATCCGAACAAGCACATCAGGGATTCTTAATCCTTCTTTTGGTACACCATCTAAAAAAATAGAAAGGGAAAACCGTCAATAGTTTATAATTAACCTTTTCAACGTATTAAAACGCTCAACTGATAGTTGGACAACACATTCAGCCTTGGTTACCTGAAAAGGTTGGTGAATTTGTAATATCTTCTGCAATGTGAGTCAAAAAGAGAGTGCCATATCTACAGGAACACAAATGAATAAGAACAATGTTTTTCAAACTCCAAGATGTAATCCCGCAAAGAAAAAAAAGAAAAAAAATGGACATGTATGAGGAGAGTTATGAAGTAATAAACCTCATTGCCTTAAAAGTATGAGGCAAATACTGCAATGTCCACTAAAAATTAAAAAGTGTATGAGCCATGTGATTGCTAAAAGTGCTTATCACATAATAATCACTTTTCCAACCCCCTTAATCCATGAACCTACAGTCCCAAGCTGACTGTACTTGGCCTGGAAAAAAGTTCTTCCAACTCGTTTGAAGCACAAACTTGCCTCTAAATGAATCCCACTTGTCCTTGACTTAGCTGCTGCCAGGTATCAGTAGCAAGGCTCACTTGCATTGACACGTTGCCGCTAACGAAATGGTAACTTGAGCTTAAGTTCTAAAAATTATGCCGACTGAAAACACAAGTGGAGTGCAGACAATAGCTACCTAAACTGAACCATAATTAACACAAGTAAACATGATAAATCATTGAATTAGCTAAATACTTCTTAACAAAATTGGTCAAGTACAAATTTATTTTTTATATAATTACAATAGCATTGTTTATTTTTTCTATTCCCTTACAATCTCCTAAGAATTTAGGAACATTATTTTCTATGAGTAGGTTTCATGATTCTCGTTACAGATTTATTCGCTTGCTTTTTTTGTAATCTCTTTTCTTCCAGAAAGTCAGCAGTGGGATTTAAGTCTTAGACAGCCTGTGACCCTGAATGACCCAAAAACAGAGCCAAGTGCTAGAATCCCTTAATGCCAAGGAATTTATTTCCATAACAGAATCATGGTCAAATATAGCATCCCCTATGAGTTTCCTACTTCAAATTTAGAAAAACTCCAACAGATTAGGAGGGATGCCCTCAATCAATGTTTTTAGAAGTTCAAAACAATGAGGTCAAGAGGTTCATGTGAAACCCATATGAGAAATGGAAGGCATTTCTAAATGGTATTAGTAGCAAGGCTCATTTGCATTGACACATTGCCATTAACTAAATGGTAACTTGAGCTTAAGTTCTAAAAATTATGCGCCTGAAAACCCAAGTGGAGTGCAGACAATAGCTACCTAAACTGAACCATAATTAACACAAGTAAACATGATAAATCATTGAATTAGCTAAATACTTCTTAACAAAATTGGTCAAATCATTAAGACAAATTTATTTTTTATATAATTACAATAGCATTGTTTATTTTTTCAATTCCCTTACATTCTCCTAAGAATTTAGGAACATTATTTTCTATGAGTAGGTTTCATGATTATCGTTACAGATTTATTCTCTCTCTTTTTTTGTAATCTCTTTTCTTGCAGAAAGTCAGCAGTGGGATTTAAGTCTTAGACAGCCTGTGACCCTGAATAACCCAAAAACAGAGCCAAGTGCTAGAATCCCTTAATGCAAGGAATTTATTTCCATAACAGAATCATGGTCAAATATAGCATCTCCTATGAGTTTCCTACTTCAAATTTAGAAAAACTCAAACAGATTAGGAGGGATGCCCTCAATCGATGTTTTTAGAAGTTCAAAACAATGAGGTCAAGAGGTTCATGTGAAACCCATACGAGAAATGGAAGGCATCACCAAACAAAAAGCATATAAATATCCTATAAAAATATCCATCAAATATTTAGCATTGCTATGGTTGGAAAATGTAAAAAGAAATTCAACACAAACAAAAATGCAAAAATAATCAACTTAAGCGATTTAGATATATAAATAATCAATGAAATAAAATAAACACTTGAAGATATCTACAAGTAAAAATGACGTAAGCGTTGTTTGCTGGGTTGAAGGAAGATTTGTTACATACACTTTGATCTCCTCCAGGGTTTTTTGCTTCATACGTGAAACAAACTCGCTCCAATCAAATTCACCCAACCCAAACCTGCAAAGAAATAATGCGGAAATATAAACAGATGTATATTCAAGCAATAAAATCATGTATATTCAAACACTAAAATCACTTTTCAGACATGTGCCATGTAGATTATGCAAAAAGGCCAACCAAGAAGACCAGATAAATTTTGGCCCCAAATAGTTACCAAGTATTCATCAAATATTCTTCATTAACACATAAATTGACAAGAATCAAAATACCTCATTAATATTTGAACAAATGCAGCTCGCTGGTTCTGAGTGAATCCAAGAACTCTAAATGATTTTCCTTCACCCTCCATTAGAGGAAGTGCTTCCATCGTATCCACTAAATTTTTTGTACAAAAACATAACTTCATTAAAGCAAGTCCACAATATCATCTCTAACTATAATTTTTAGTTAAAGCTACTTAAGATACCTCGAGATCTCTTCTTTGAAGAATGATTTTTTCTCCCACCACCCGAACCCATTCCATTATCTGTCCAATCACCTTCATCATTATCCTCTTCTTCTGAACTCACATCTTCCAATCCAGCAAGATCATCTTCCTCTACAGATACCATCTGAATGAAAGAAAAGAAAACAGAAATGACAAACAAAGGGCAATCTCTAATCAATGCATGGATCATAGTACAATCATTATCACTCATCTAATATAAAAATATTTAGTAGACCTTACATCTCTTGGAATTGATTACAAGTTGAAACAAAAAGAACATGAAATGCAAAATATTGCTAAAATATTATAACATATGATTCCTACAACTAATTCTACAAAGCAGAAATCTGAAACAAAAGACTTCCCAGAATGCTCAAGTCACAGAAGTCTCAAAGACTCCAACAACAAAATCATATTATTAAAAGCTAGGCAACAATGCCTCATACAAATACAATCCAAGGAGTAACATGGTGCTCACAGTGGGTATTAGCGAATTGTGACTGTAAATGTTCTTCCAGAAAAGCTTCTCAAGGTTGTCGGTGAATTCTATATGACATCCTTAATTTCTGAAAATAAGATTCCAGGAAGCTATATGTGCGTGTGTGTAGTGTGTGTATGTATGTATACGGTGCCTGCTATCTTTTCCAACTAAGTCAGAAACAAAACCAAATTTTGAAATCCATAACAAGTTGGCAGAAGAGCCTGAAATGGCTATCAAAGTAATTAAAGAGAAGCAAACCCTAACTTTCCTGAAACATTTGTTCTCATATACGTCACAAATGCAACCCAGTTTCAGAAAGAATAGTACTGATAGTCTGACATGCAGGTCAAACTTTCAGGCTATTGATTATCAGGAAAATAGAGTATTCTTCCTTTGATAACCATTTGGAAGATAAATTAAGGTTTACACATGAGTCACCTTTCAGAGAATTGCAGAAAATGAACGCCATTAACCTTAATCAGCATAAATGTGTACAAGTTAACAAAAACTTCCACATAAGGAAGACTAATTGAAGAAAGAAAAGTCCCAATGGGTAACAAAATGTACATAATTTTCTAACAGAAATAGGGTATAAGACATGTACAAATGTGCTTCTATGTCTCTTAACAAAACGTATAAATTACCCGCTTAAAGGGTTATAATCAATCTTAACCTCAACCTACTTTTTTGCTCCCAATCCCATTGAGATTCATGTGTTGGTTCATATGTGGTAAAAACATCTATCAAGGTGTTTTTTAAGCTAACAAAGCAATCAGTTCACAAATGGGTTCTTATAGACCTGAAAACATCTCTAAGCTTGTCATAAGCATCACCTCCGACCATGTCAATTGAAATTTCTTTTTGAAAGTTCAACTTCAAGAAAGCATTTCCCTAAGTGATGGAAAATATAGACTTATTGGTGTCCTCAAAGGACTCTATGATGGGTATCTCCAGAGAATGACAAGCATTAAACAATTAGTGCACTCGCAGTCCTTCCTGGACTTCGTCATGGTAATGGTCCTCATAGCCCATTGAATGAAATTTGTCGTCTAGGGAACCCCAGCAGAACTTTCCTTCTTTTATTTACACTTGATGAGCATTTGAGCCAACCAAGCACTGCAATTCCAATTGCCTCCAAAATGGACTGCTATGAAAAATATTAAATTCATATATCATCATCACATTAATTGAAGGGAGAAGTTATATAAGGTGTCAACTTATATTGTAGAAGTAAAGCACACTACAAAACCACCAAAACATATTTATTGACATTTTACAGTTAACACATTCCCAAAAACAAGAAGACACTACAAAACCCTCCAATTGATCAACTTGACCTTGAGATGTATGGATATGGAAAAAACAATGGTAATTTCAATTCTTGAAAATCGTCTAATAAGGGTGAGGACTTAAACTTTCCCTTAACCCATCCCAAGCCCAGGTAAAAGAGGTGGATTATGTTAGATAGGCAATCAGCGTAAAACTTTGCTGCAACTTATCATGAATTCTAAATCTATGTTATATGCTCATGATAGGGCATTCCCGTTAAGCAACGTGCTACACCACCCGGGTGCAGTAAGAAATAAGAAAGGGTTAGCTAGAGTGTTCCCCAAAAGCGACGCACTTACCGGTACCTAGGTATAATAAGAGAAGAGCATGGGTTAGATAGGGTGTTCCCCCCTAAGCGACGTGCCGCAATATTGCCCGGTTACGGTGATAAGTAGGCAAGGATTCTCGCATCATTCTAATAGAGCGTGGGTAAAGAAGCTAGACCAAGAGAGTAAGATTCGTCTAGCTACGTGGAATATAAGAACATTAACAGGTACGAGCACGGAGTTAGTAGATACAATGAGACACGGAAGAGTTAACATAGCTTGTCTACAAGAAACTAAGTGGAAAGGGGAAAAAGCTCAGGAAATTGATAGATATAAACTTTAGTATAATGGGTGTGGTTTGTAAAGGCTGAGGCCCTAAACAATTAAAGTAAGGCGTACCTTCAAAAAGTGTCAAAAGATGTCAATTCAGGATCGAAAAACTTTATGATGACCTGAAAATTTATTTTCATCTCTAACTATAAATTTTAAAGCTTCAAAAATAGTGTACATCATGCAAATCTATGAAGACTTAAAAATTATGAAAATTGACGGTCTAGATAATGCAATACAAGATGTCCTACTTCCAAGACTTGAAGTCTCTTTTTTTTCCTAAAAGAGATTGTTTCTGATATCTAGGATCGATAATCCAAGAGAATGGAAAGACTGATGAAGATATCACATATAGAATTAGAGCTGGGTGGGAGAAATGGAAATGCACATCCAAAGTTTTATGTGAACACGGCATATACCATTGAGACTGAAGGGAAAGTTCCATGGGATGGTTGTAAGACCAGTCATGCTTTATGCGACGGAATGTTAGTCGAGCAAGAAACATGTACACGGAATGAGCGTAACTGAGATAAGGATGTTGAAATAGATGAGTGGCAAGACAAGAAAGGATAGAATTTGGATGAATACATACAAGGGAACTTAGATGTGGCTTCAATAGGCGATAAGATGAGGGAAAGTAGACTTAGGTGGGCTTGCTATGTGTAGCGTAGACCTAATAAAAAACCTATTACGAGGTGCGATTGGGTTCAAGTGGAAGGTTCTAAAAGGGCAAAGGAAAAGCCCAAAAAGACTGGATAGAAGTAGTGAGAAATGATATGGTGACTTTTGGTCCTACTGAGGGTATGGCCCTTGACAAAGAAGAATGGAGGAACATAGTTCATTTAGCTGGCGCCAAATGATTGGGATAAGGCTTGGACGATGATGATGATGAAGATGAATCTCAAGTCTTGAAAATAGTACATCTTGTAGAACATCATTTGGACCATCCATTATCAAGATTTCCATGTGTTTATAGATCTTCTCGATGTGCACCATTCTTAGAGTTATGAATTCTACAGTTAGGGATGAAAATGATTTTTAGGCCATCAACAAAGTTTGCCAGCACCAGAACTACATCTTTTAGCATAATTTGGAGGTGTGCCTTACTTGGATTGTTTCTACCCCGACATTCACCGAGGAAGCCGAAGCAATTCAGGAATAGATGAAACTGTTTTTATTTCAAGAAAAAACAAAAATAAATGAATTCATTGATTATTTTGAGGTGTATTTTAGTACAATAGGAATCGTTGAGAAAGATCTCTCTGATTTGAATCATTCAAAATTTGTTTGTAGTCGAAACAAAAAATAGAAGGAAATAAATTGCGTTTAATAGGATTCGAACCAATACCAAAGGTTTAGAAGGCCTCTGTCTATCCATTAGACAATGGACGCATCTGATTCTGATTCTCTTCTTTCCCATTTCTCTTTTCCCGTCATCTCTTTAGAAAAAAAAATCCCATTGATTGTATTCCGTGCGGGAATCTTATAATCAAAATGTATATAAAGATCAAAGTTCTATCATGTATGGAGGGAGAATGTAGCGGGAATCGAACCCACATTGTTAGCTTGGAAGGCAGTTGATGCCTTGTACAAACCGCACTCTTAATTAAAACCAAACTAAACAATCCAAATTGCGAACTGAAGATTCTAACAACATTAAATATGTTGACATGTGATGCTTCGAAGTACAACAGCAGGGCTCCAGGTAGCATAGCCTGATAGACATACACACATATGACCATATAGTGACCACTTAACATTCAATCTTCCAATCCAGTGTAAAAATCTACAGGTATTTACTCATATGATAAGCTGCAATATTTGCCAAATATTCAAGAGATAAAGCATTAGTCCATCAGAAGATCAGTTAGCATATCAAGGAAATTTATCAGTTAAGCAGTTTGGTAACCGATTTCATCTACAAATAAAATACTACTTGCCATTGTCACAGATTTATAACCCTAAACCACCAATATACCTTTCTGCACACACAACTATTAGCATCATAATCATTACACCAATAAGTTCAGCAGTGTCTTTCAAGTTGACTCAAAACTTATCCTTCACTAGTGTATTGCTAATACGAATAGAACAATTTTTTGACGACTCAACAGTATAAGTTACAGCAACCCCTTTGCAACTCAAATACAAAGTTTTTTTTTTTTTTTTGGTAATAGCAAAACACTATGTCCAGTTGCAAATCCTACACTGACCTACTCAGAAAAGATATATGTAGAATCTTACATTGATCATTTACAATGAAAGGACTGACAACGGACAAACACAAACATGAAGCAGCCAATGAAAAAGCCATTCTGAGAAGCAAGTCAAGCAATCAGCTTGAATCAACATTCGATGTCCCAAACATCCTCAATGTAAAATCAAATAGAAAGCAAACAAAATAATACCTGTTTCCGGCTGCGCTTTCCCTTGCCCAATGCCGTAAACTCTTCAAGACGGTGTTCCTCATATTTTCCCTTCAATAGTTCCTCCCAATAACGCGCTCTCTCAGCCATGTTTTCTGCTTGTTGTTTTATCTCAGTTTGCTTCTTTGCTTCCTCTTCCCTTGCTGCTGTAGCCTCTTCTTCATCTATATACTCAAAATTTGCAACCTAATAGAAGTTGCAAACACTATTAAAATTTTGAAGAAAGAGTTGAGTGTGAGAGCTACAATTAGCACCCTTAATCAGGGTTGTAAAAGCTATAACTGGCTCAAATTATTAACAAATGATGGCAGCAAACTTAACCACGATCCAGTTTTCCACAGTATCTCACTTCCATAATCAAGCACAAGTAAATGAAATCTGATACTTTCTAGCACAATCCATTAAAAACACTTCAGAATTTCCGATTAAGAAACTGTATAACACTAATACTCCCTGAATGCCAATTCCAGGGGTTCCCTAAACAAGAAAAGCTAACGGACTGTTGTCTATATTACCAAACAAAGCAAAATAAGATGGCACCTTGAAAGCCTTCAAGAATCCATCATCCTCATCTTCAACGGAAGCCTCTTCATTGTTGATCTTTTCACGGTCAAGTAGTCTTTAGAGAACAAGAAAATGAATCAGATTTTGTAAAAATGGCAACTAGGAAATGAAAATCGAGAGAATCTTTGTTCTTTTTATTGTTTTTGAGTCTCAATGAAACTCCAGAGAATTACAGAATAGTGCTAGAGAGTACCTATCAATTGATGCATCGTCATAATGAATCTGGCGAGCTTTACCAGATTCATCTTCATCTTCAGCAAACAACTCTTGTGATCCGTATCTAATGATGTCATCCAATTCTTCCTGGGGTACAAAAGCAAATTATAGTTGTCACAAAGCCCATATCAATTTTTGCTTATAAACTTAGCAACAGCAAGTACATCTTAAGTTAAGCAAAGAAAACCAAATTAAAACTATAAACTCCTATGTCTCAGTGAGACAAAAGGGGTGTGGAAGCACAACATAACGAGGGAACACTTCTCTTGGGAAAAATCGATGAACAACTGTAAATGTGCTGTAGTATATGTTGTTTCAAAGGACGCATTGTTGATTCTCCCCCCCGCTCGTGGAAAAAGCTGACTGTATATAATATTCAACAAATTACACAAAAAAAACCGCTTGCCCCATGTTGGCACCCACAGGCTGGGTGCTCTGATGGCTTGGGCAGCAGAGAAAGAAAGAGAAGGGGAGATAGAAAAAGAGAGAGCGAGAGAGAGAGAGAGAGAGCGAGAGCTGTAGATGGCATCCCACATCTCGGTTGCTCAGGATAAAAAGACTGTAACAGTAACAAACAGGAGGGCCTGTCCTTCTGCAAATGATGAGTCACAAAAAACATTAGGGCCAGAACAAGTAGCCAATAAGGAATTCCCAGCATCTCTTGGAATAAACCCAAACTTCCCATTCCGGATTACCATGCCAGCTACCATTGAAAATTAGCTTTGTGAAAATTAGCTTTGCATGGACAAACTCAATTGAGATCATCCATCAACATCTAGGAGAGGCTCCAGCCTCCATCACCAGCAGTATCCACTCGCTAGGGAAGACATCCCCCAATTCCAGTCATATCATGGCCCACATAATAGCTTAATCAGAGTCTCCCTCCAGAAAATTTCTCTTAGTTGTCCTCAAATCCTGAAAGATACTAAAATTTCGCTCAATGAGATGCTCCACATAACGAAAAACACACCAGCCACATAGCAGATGACCCCTAGATGGGCCAAGAGCCCATCCAGTCAATAAGCCTCCAATAGATAAAGGAGTGGCCAACAGAGAACCACAAACATCCATGGTGAAGGCTCAGGCTTCACAAGGAATCTGCAACAAAGCAACAAATCACCTAAAACTCATATTCCTCATGGCATATGAATGTTGTCCCTACAGACAAGCCACTGAAATGCCACAATCCTAGCTGGGTGAGAATGTTCCACATGGAACCAACATAAGCTCACTAATAGAGTTTACCCTGAGAGCTTTACATAAAGATCTTGCTGAAAAGACCTCTCGCTCTAGGGGCCACAGGCTCCTGTAAATGCGGATTCTTACAAATATAAATAGGGAACGCAGTAACTAGAAGAATTTGTCCAAATCCCCTCAAACTGGTAAGGTGGATGTCCTCAATGGACCCCACAAGGTTCACAAATTACTCCATCTCCTCATCCTTAAGATCCCTATGAAAAGCTGAGCACCAAAAAACTCTTCCTTGTATCCTCTCAAAGCAATATCCACTCTCACCTCAATATCAGAAGTAAGCCCCACTAGATAAGTGACGCTCAACAGACTTTCCCCACACCAAACCAAGTGCCAAAAACTGATATCCGGCCCATCCCGAATACAGAATCAATTAAAGGGAAAAAACTTTCTCATAATTGTAGTTATAGCCCAGCGGCAGACATCCTAGCTGAGCTTCCAGGAACCTGAGAAAGCCATCCCAACCAGGAGCTCCCAAACTTCACTAAAATACATCCCTGCACAGGCCAAATCATCTGTAACAAACACCAGCTAAGGAAAACTTCATGAGATCACCTACAATCCAGTTACCCCTCAATCACATCTCAGGACAGTCCTCAGATTATCTATCTAGTCCACTTCAGTAGCACAAAAATAAGTGTGTTCTCAATTAACTGCAAGTGAGATACCCATGGCCCCCTACTAGCCACCTCAAACCCCTTAAACATACAAGGCACAATCTATAAGCTGAATCAGAACATCCAACACCAAAATGAAAAGGAATGAAGGATACGCCTGCCTCAGCCCCCTTAGAAGCAGAAGAGAATCCTGTTGGGTTTTGCACTAATGATCACCAAGAATCAAGCGTGTTACACAAATATCCTCTCATTCATCCCCTTCACCTCTCTCCAAAAGTCATCCTCTCCATCTATATCGCAATTCACACCAATTTAAACCCCAGGCGACCTTTAAAACAACAACATTAATGCTGCCTCTGTCCACGGTATCTCACAAACACAGGCAGTAAAAGGACAAGCACTAGTCAGCAACTTTCTCTAAGTTCTCAGCAAGCCACTGTAGGACCTGCAAGCTTCTTTTACAAAGTCATGCCCACATCTCTTGCTCTTTCTATCTCTTCATCCAATGCACTCTTTCTTGTTCGAAGTCTTATTTCATTCTCTCTCTTGATCGCCCACATTTCTCTCTGCTCCAAAGCATTCTCTCTCATGCCCAAAGGCCAAACCGTTATTTCTCCCTCTCTTTCACTTTCACTGTAAGTCTCTTCTCTCTCTCTATCGTACTCTCTCTCTCTCTCTCTCTCTCTCTCTCTCTCTCTTGTGAGAAGCATGGAGAGTATTCAGGGTTTACAGGGGCATGGATAGTTCTGCTATTCTGTCTCTCTCTCGACTCTTCCAGGCCTTTCAACCCTGGCAGTGGCAAGACTTCAAGAATGTGTAAAAAAGATTGCCCCCAGTCCTGTATAAAATAGTGCCCCAAGACATAAAACTCTGACAACATTGCCAAAATATCATCCTTGACCAGCTCCCAAAAATCTGAAAGAATGTCATAGCAAAACCATTTGGCTCTTATGCTCAATACATGCTCATAGCAAATACTGCATCATTCATACTCTCTAATAGAATCAAGGGAGAATTCTGCTTTACATAATGGAATTCCGCTTTACTAAGAAATCGTCAACAAAATCCAACCTCTTCATGAATAAAACCTTCATTTCTCCTTAACTTACTTAAGAAAATAAAAGAATATAATAAAATAAAGAGTAGCGAATGCCCTTGCAAACCTTAAGCTTTTTTGGGAGTTCTCCCAACCAAATTGCTCGAGGCTCTCATTTACAAGCATATTCACAACTCAACCATCACACTCAAAGCCTTGAATCTCCTCCCTGAATTGGGTCTCAATGTCGACTCCCACCTGCTCAAGAAAGATGTCAAACTCAAATCCATCCATGCGCACCCTTCTCCAATATTCAGTCATATAGAGCCTCTGGAAGAATCTAACTATCACATCTGAAAACATCAAACTCAATATAAGAGGGAATTAATTCGTCTACACAATAGACGCCGTACAGAGATAACCTTCATGGTTTGAAAGAATCTAGTAGATAGGAAGTTTAGGAAAGTAGAGATAGCCTGTGTCCCAAGCCGAGTCAAATAAAGAGGGATCAAACCTCTACAAATACACATATAGGCCTATGGCCAAATCAATCAAGTGGAGTAAAAATTGAGTTTCAATTGTGGGTGAGAGGCCACCTTTAAAGGAAGGATTCCTCAACTCTTTTTCTAGAGAGAGCGACTCTACAAGTCTGGTCTAGTTTTGAGAGTCTCCACAAAAGATTAGAGCCCCTCTTCTTCTATTGGTGGAGTTATTCCCCAACATCATAGCTTGTGAATTGGAGTTCCCCACACATAAGCATAGTTTCCTTCTTCTTTCCTTCTCAGGCATATCCCCTTCCAAGATTCCCCACCACTGAATTCTTCACTGATTCAAGACCTACCTTAAGCCCCAGTTGAAACCTTCCAAACCTCAACTAATATATCTCACTACAACTCCTATCCATATACCCAACCACCCTAGCCTTCAAACGCAATTTTAAACCTAGATTGTCCCTGTATCAACCCTAGCACCCATCTCAGTGTTTCAAAACACTAACTCAAGTCTCACTAGAGTTCCAAGCCCAAGTCAGGTGCTTCGACTCGAATGAGTATCGTTGAGACTGGGCCCGTCTAATCTTAAAAAAAAAATACTAACAGGCTAAAATTACAAGTTTTGAATGAGTATAGTGGTATTGCCAAAGGACCGGTCAGAGTCTCATCATCCTCCTATCTTACTAGGCCTCTTAAACTTCTAACAACTTTAACCTCACTTACACCATTTAACACAAACCCTAAACTTTACCTTCCACCCCATACCAACAACCCCCCCCTACAAACACCCCAACAACTCCTCCAATCCGAAAAAAAGAGGAGGGGCAGGGGGGGGGGAGACAAAGGGGACAAAGCTTAAGTCCCAAAATTTACGCCTCATATCATCCACTCCTCAATATAAGAGACCTCAATAAATCCAAAACCCTAATCCTAAACGTAGTAAGAATCCTAAATCCTTTAGAACTCTTAAATCCTAATTTGATTAGAAATCCTAAACATGTGTCAAATCCTTTCTCTCTAAGGCCAACTCGTGTGTTAAACACGTTTAGGAGCCAAGGCCCCTTGTTTCTACATCAAATCGGGTATCAAAGCAAGTTGTTCCTTAGGAGCTTGCTTTGAACTGAATTTAGTCATGTCAAACCCGACGAGTCAAACCTACGGCTTTCATCTATCAAAAGCCCAAAGAGGCAAGCTCTTTTGCAACTAAGAGGTAAAATGAATGCCGGGAATTGACTACTCAATGCCATGATTGAGAAAATGGCCATCAATTTAAGAATTAAATTTTCAATTCTACCCAGCATTTCTCTATGATGGGGGAAAAAAAACCTTAAAAATAACCCCAAACCTAAATTTTAGTGTTTAAAAATAGTAAAATAAAAAAATAAAAACCCAATACATCAAACCTCCAAGAGATTGAAGGACAAAAGGTAGACCATTAAGTTAATTGACTCCAACCAGCCATTACGCATGAGATTTTTCTACAGCAGCCACAAACCTTAAGTGAGGATTGTCAAATAGCTCTACAAGTTGAGGCCAAATTACGATGGAGCATCGATACGAGACTCCTTACCATAAGGAGGTTTCCCACCACCAAAAATTTAATGATGAAAGAAGGAAAAAGATCTAGGTTTCCTCCAAGATTATTTTATTGGTGTAATGAAACTGGACACCATGCATATGAATGCCCAAAAA